AATTGTTAACCCTAATTATTAGTTCCACTGGAATCTCATTTGGAATTGAATTTTAGCTTCTACTTAAGTCTGTGATGTAGATTGGGTGATGATGATTTGCTTACCCATGATTCTGAAAGCTGATTTGACAAAACTGACAGACAAAATCTATACTCTCGGTAACTATATTATCTCTAATAGTTTGTTGAATCATGAGGAAATGTTTTGGAATATGAGTATGAATAAATGTCCTTACCAAATGCTTAAATTGAGCTACCTTTTGAGCTTTGAGCTATCAAAATGAGTTTATGGAGCAGGCTCACAAGTAACAAAATATTGAAGACATCTAAAAGTGCACTGTGAAAAAAATATCCAAACTTTGAACAGTAGAGCATGCAGCAAGAATCCTTTCTTATATGGCCTAAAGGATAAGAAACACAACCAAGGATGCATGTAGTAAGAAACCTGCAAAGTGCTTGGGTGTTAATAGATCGGAAACAGTTTTAAAAGGCTATTTAGCTTCTTAGCGCCAAGTGACATTTCCTTGTCTTTTGATGTTTCACCATGTAAAACCCTTTCTCTTTTCTGTTAAGTTGAAAGCTGTTCTTTCCCTGTAGGCCAAATTGAAAAATGTTCTTATTGCATGTTTTTTTTCCCCTTTAACTCTATTTCTGAGAGCAATAAATCTGTCATTTGTACAAACAGTCAATCTTTTTGTTTTGGCTTGCAGCTTCAAGATGTTCTTAATCCTCATGATACTGAAAACCATTTTGCTTAATATCTAAAGCTAAGCCTTTCCAGTTCTAATAACATTTCCATAAGGAATCAGATGCTGCCACCTTCTCTCCAGTAAAACTTTGGCACAGGAAATATTGATTTGTTCATAGGAAATCCCCACACCATACAATTCCTTAAAGAAAAACAGGATGCATCAGAGCCAATGTCAGAAAATGGTATTACAATGCTGAAAGGGAAAACTAGTTTCTCTTGAACACCATCTTATTAATAACTCACTGAAACAGAACATTATACAAAATGGATGCTGGCTGCAGAATGTAGAGAATAGAACTAGATGGAAGACAATATGAGTGGCAAGTAGAAGCGTGGAGGAATGTTTAGCAAGTGATTGAAAATTGAGGATAGGTGATCTGCACATGAGTGACTAAGGTAGAAGGTGAAAAAGTGATTGAAGGGAATTATTAATAAGAGCGTGTTGGAAGATAGGGTTAGAGGGTGTGGAATGAATATTTATTTGAAATTCTATGAAGTGATGTTGATGCAAGCAAGTTGTCCCTAAGGTAGCTCAGGGTGAGAAGAAGCAAGGAGATAGTGCAGGAGATGCAGAAGAGGGGAAGGTCACAGTAGTGACAGGTACATACTAGGAGATGGGGTGGGGAGAATTGGAAAATTGGGGCCCACATTCTTCCCTCCTCCATTATTCTCAGTTCAGGAGCTAGGCAATAAGATTATTGGAAACTTTGGCCGAAGGCTGATGCTACTGAGCATTAGATCTATCTATAATAAGTCGGTGTCATTCACAGTTTGATTGAGAATGAGAAGATAGGCCTGATGGGCAAGACCCCAGTGGCTATAGATTGCAAGGTGTCCCTGATCTATTCATTTCTATCAAAGTTTCAGATACAGGTCGTCCTCGAGTTATGATCACAATTGAGCCTAAAATTTATATTGCTAAGTGAAGTGAGTTTGCCCCATTTTGCGACTTTTCTTGCCACAATTGCTAAAGGAATCGTTGCCTTTTTAAGTTAGCAACACAATTGTTAAGTGACTCTGGATTCCCCATTGACTTTGCTTGTCACAAAGTTGCAAAAGCTGATCACATGACCTCAGGACACTTCAACCGTCATAAAATATGAACCACTTGCCAAGCATCTGAATTTTGATCATGTGACCATGGGGGTGCTGCCACAGTCATAAGTGTGAAAAATGGTCATAAGTCACTTTTTTCGATGTCGTTGTAACTTTGAACGCTCACTAAATAAATCGAGGACTTTCTGTATTGTGTCAGCTTCTACTCCAAGGTTATGGAGGAGGAAAAATACTGATCCACTGAGCCACAGCTTCCCCACAGCTAACTTGTGAAATTAATTGCTAGAAGATATTGCAATAGCTGGTACATGAGTTGAATAGGTAGCAATATAAATCCAATAAATAAATATTAACATATTGTTGCCAAGAAAACTATATGGTTACAGTTATGAATTCACCAGAGCGAGCGTGAGAGAAAATAGTGTGAGAAATTCTGCGGATAAAGAAAATCTGCCTCTCAGAAAATGCTCAGTAGAACCATCGCCATCAGAACAGAATTCTAGTCTATATGGACTTTTGCTTGATGTTTCACATCAGTTTTTACATAAATGTAAATTAGTTTAGAACTATTTTCCCAATACAAATGTATCCCCTCTTCTAGATTGCATAGATTTAAATAAATAGCTTGGGGGGAAAATCATTAAAATTCATTAGTTTCACCGGGAATAAACCAGTTGATTCATCATCCAGAACAGAACCCATCAAATTTAGATTAAGTCCAGTACATTTGTTATGAAGAAGCTGAACTCACAATAGCTTTAGAAACTGCAAATAAAATGTATTTCAAACTAATTCAGTGGTAATCAATTTTAAATATGTGTCCAAGTAAACAAATAGTTAAATTTGACTAGTGAACACATAAAGCTCTAATACAAAATGAGTTATTGGCATGTAGATGCTGCCTTCTCATTACATAAACATCTTAAAGTGTGGCTTCTGCCAGTCATAAAATCTCTTTTACTCTGCAATATTTAATTACTGCTTAATCAAAAGAAAGTCTAATTAGAGGGCAAATACAGCCTATTATATCTTAATGATTGCATTTGCCTCCTGCATTGCAGAATTCAGTCCCATCAACTTGCTTCAAAATAGTATTTGTCTTCATAACAGATATTAAGACAATTATTTCAGCCCATACCATTAAAAAAAGCAATTACTTGTCACAAATTAAAATAAGAAAATAATGTGATATTCTGTCTCTTAGGAATGTCATCAAAAATCTATATACACCTGAGGTTTTCCACGTGGGAATAAGCATATGGCTAAGTCATAGGTTCACCAAACATGGAGTCAAGACTGTGTTGTTATGCTCCAGATATCCCATTTATGCTTGTTATATGTGTGGTAGGTTTTTGTTAGTATGAGCAAATGCTTTGCAGCCTTTCTGCTATAATTGCATCATCCCTCAAGAGCATAAGACCAAATAATATCTACATTTTAATCTATTTTATTGCTTTTGGATATTAGTCATTATTACTAGAGAGTGGTGACTTAAGATGTTTACTTTTGATGTTTGGAAGATAGGATGTTTTTCACAAAGGGACAACAGATATTTTTCTGCCACTGGGCTCTTACTAGACTTAATTATTCAGTGGTTGTACTGACTATATCAGTTATGAAATGCATATCAGTTCTTTTGGGGCAGTTGTAAATAACATTCCCTAATGAATTTGGCCTGATTAAAATAGTCTCTAACATGTATAACAAAATCTTAGATGCTGAATAGCAAGATACAGCTCTGTGAAAAACTTCTCCCCCTTTTTTATGTTTGAATTTTTGCATACATTTGTCACAGAATGTGATCAGAACTTCTATTATATCCTATTATTTATATATATATATATATATATATATATAT